GTGTGTGTGTGTGTGTGTGTGTGTGTGCATGTTACTGTTCATGTCCAACAAAGCACACACTTACCGTGTCCATTTGGGCCAGATCGCTCAGTTCGTTCGGCTTTGAAGGATCGGCACCTATTGTCCAACTGCCCTCTTCATCTTCCAATAAGCCGTGATTGGGCACTTCAAACCAACGGATTACCGCTGGTGGATGACACGAACTTGTTGCACATGTCAAATCTAACCTCTGCGACTCACGAACTCCGTCCATGGGTAGAGCCGTCAGACCGACATTGTTTGGGGCAACTGGGATTCGGATCGAGATGCAACGGGATACAACGGACAATGGAAACAGGAGATGGCGGGCGGGCGGCGGATGGAGGGAGGGTGGAGAGGGTGTATGAGTAATTGGGTACAGATTGTCCAAAAAGTGTTGAAAAACTTTTAACAAACACATTTGGGATTATATGATGAATAGTCAATTCATGAGATACAAACAGCTGATACGGTCAAGCGATGCAAATCATCCAGATCACCAACCAATCTGATACGATAGAAAATAAAGATTTAAGTAAGCAATGCTTATAACCAGAAGAAACTCCAAGGGGATTGCGTTTTATTTGAGCATAAAACACTACTGAAATTTGCTGAACTTACCGCAAAATACTGAATCCTTTTAGGAAGAAGAGTTTAGGTCAATGAGATTAGACGAACGTATGGCAATCTGCTAAATTTTCGTATTCCCACTGAGGAAATATGTCATTTCGGTACACTTAAACGCACGCACACAGACATGGAATATGAATGCACTCACATTTCACTTCCAAAATCTCTTCGGCGCGTAGCATAGTTTTCTTATTCCGATAGACTGCGGTACACTCGAAACGTCTTCCGTTGATCGCTCGACGTGCGACTACAGTTAGTACGGATCGAGCGATCAGGGCACCAAAGTCGCCGACCAGTTGTTCCGTCGGTTGCACGTGAACTTCATCCCCCAGGGGTAGTAAAGCTCCCGCGGAATCCAGTTGTGTCCAAGTCAGTTCACTTGGCGGATTACTGCCACTGTCGTTCAGCTGACAAGTGAACACTTTCGATACGGATTCGGCCACAGAGCCCATCGGATCCATGGAGACAAATATACCCTGTGGTGGATCTGTGGAATGAAAGCAAAGTGAATCATGCAAAAATGGGGGCTCGAGGGGGCGATTGTGCGTCAAAACCAACATCAGCCTTTCAATGAAGTCTTTTTATCTTATTTTTGAGTGTTTTGAAAGTGTTATAAACCACAGAGCATATGTGTGAATATTCATTCATATTGAAACTATCCGATCCCTTCAATCTATTTGGATGAAATAACAACTGCTTTGTATCCCCGCTCTCAATTCCTAACGACTGTAATTGTCATACACCCTGAGCTTTGAATGTTCTCAAATGGTATTCATATTCAAATATCCACCCATATTTCATGTACGTTGATGGCTGATTGACGGCCTATAAAAAACTGATGATACAGAGAAATCCAACTCATGTTTATTACTTGCGCAATTTGTTTGTTTAATATCCCGATTGCTCAACGCACCATGCATGGCAAACAGTTTCCAGTATGTCTTACTTCAAATCCTCCTTCTCCCCCCGCTCTCGGTCTTCTCTCTCTCTCTCTCTCTCTCTCTCTCTCTCTCTCTCTCTACAGCGGTTCAATCATTCCACCCACACCTATCTACCGTTATGTAATTCGATCTTTGTCTGCTCAACCGCTCCCCGACTCTACCCTTGACTGCTGATAGCTTTCTTGTACTTACTTGTCCACCCATGTCATCGCTGTAGATAGTTACAATCGTTTATTGTTATCTTCCCGTATCCGGAAGGAAGTTTCCACAAAGAAAGACTGATTCCATAGACGGAAGAGTAGAGTGTTTGTGGTGCGGTTCAAACACATGAACCACGACACAATCGCCTCATAGGTTTTGCTATCCTACAACTGCAGTTCAGATAGAGTTTAAAGTAAGCAAATCGCGAAATGCTTACGAATGAATTTAACCTGGTTTGTGTTTCACCTGTGAAGCAACCAGCTTGATGCTGGCACGAAAAATGAGAGATTTATTGTTAAAATACGTGTATACTATTTATGCCCAGGGTGTAGGACGGTTCTCCAAAGTAAGGAAATGAAATCAAATCGGAGTGCCACGTCAAAGATAGTAGGCATTCGGTTGGAATTGAGATGAATAGAGCGAGGATACTGGCCATATAAGGAACAGTATACAACTTGGACAGCCGTGAGCAAAATGACTGGACGTTCTTTACTTGAGAGTCGGCAGAGATGTCAGCGGAGCAACAGAGAATGATGGTTACAACGCGAGAAAACGCAACTGGTTTAAGTAGGAACTGAGGAACTTTTAAAGATTTAGACTTGAAACGATAGACACCTTATCCTTATGAAGGTATTACCAATCTGATCGGATGATGCGAGATCTTGGGGTAGGGTACTTCGGGATAATTTTTGATCGAACTTTAGATACCTTGATCTGTGTTGACAGGAATGTAGTAGACTGAAATTTCTTCCCAGGACAGCTGGTCCTATAACAGACACTGTAGAATCTGGGGCCCGCGCGCTGATCACTGGCCATTTAGCCCTCAAGGTCTATTTTTGACAGCCACTTTATTTGAACTTTTATGGTTATTATGAATCATATAACACCAGCAAAACACGGGTTTCATTATCGTTCATGACCGGCATGTATACGTAGTGTGTGTTGAGTTCTACCAATCTTTGTCTTCTAGCAGTTCGCTCAAAATGTGCTGTGGGAACTATTAAATGATTTGCTGAATAAATGACACAGTGGCTGAGCGGCTAATTTAGCATACAAAAAGGTGATAAGTTGTCGCGATTCAGGAAAGGCACCACGACATTCATCACAAAGTTCGCACATTTATAATTCCGATTGCATTGTTTATCAGTTTTCCAGAAGTTTTTATTTAATCAGGTTGTGAAAAGATCAGGAGCTTTATAGTCGTACTTTTTCTTCAGCTATGCCCCTGTTTAGCGTACACCCTATCAGCCGAGACAAGAGATCATGCCTACCAGTGTGACACTTTTACATTTGCCTGTCCACTCATCTTCCAGGGGCGAATTGAAGCACTAGGTGCCATGTAAGTTGACTACTCCGGTCGGTTTTCCCTGGATTGCACCAATTCAACTCCAGCACATTGTTCTAGTCCCATTGCTTATTAGATTTTGATAAGCTTTTATTTCAGGAAATTCCGATACTTTCAGGAGCTTTCAGGAGCGGTTGGAGTCCGTGCATGAACACTGCTGATATTTCTGTGTAATTTGAGTGAGCGGCCAAATTTAAAACCATCACAACTCCTTTGGTACAGTGTACGCCGAACGGAGTACTAGACGGTCTCTATGAGTGGGTTGAAATCCATCTGAAGCTTCTGAGCTTCCTTCAAGTGGGGATATTGTACCAAATTCGAATAAGCCATGTACCTTCTGATGCGAATTGGCTTGCCTGTGACCCGTGTCTGTTTGCTTTGTTCGATGACAACGAGCTCTTCCATTGTATTTCAGTGGCGTAGTCAACGGTTTTACGGGGTTAAGTAAAATCTAGGTTAGCTGATAAGTCACTCAAATTTTACGAATATCTTAAGGTTCTAATTTGGTTAACAACCGTGCGGTTACCTTGACTTTTCAGTCATTCAAGGAAGCCGTGATTTCGTCAATCTTACGCTCCCCCCCCCCCACCCACTCACC